CACACTCACAGTGGACGCTCCAAGATGTTCATTAGAGGGGCGTCTGTTGAACAAGCGGCGGGCATCTCAACACTTCGTCGTTGCCAGATGACTTGTGACTCGTACCTTCTGAGCCACGGTAAACCAATTACAATATAAAAATCTCGTCCAAATCCAAGCCGATAAATTGATCATCTTAGTGGTCTTCTTTTCAGTGTATAAGAGAATTATACTACACGTTTTCATCACTGTTACGGATGCGCCTGTAGCAAGGCGTACCGTCATCCTAGTTGAAGGGATCTCTCGCTCAAAGTTTTTGGTCCTTCTCGATTGGCGTTGTAAAAAGTTGTTTGACGCCCCACAATCGACTAGGTCTCATAGCGACATGTCCTTTACTACTTCGAGCTGTAAGGTAATATAAAAACATAATTACCAAATGCAGTAACAAATAGTGATTGCGTGTTGGGACCAAATCCCGTCAAGAGGTCTGCAAATTCATTTGACATTGCTGGATGATAGAGTGCCCCACACCTAATTACCTTGATCGTTTTTTTGCTGTCCGTTACGGTTTCTTTTCACGCAGCAGCATCGGACTCATCATCTACAGCCGCTTGACGGAGAACCGTTTCCTGCAATGAGCGGTACCGCGTTCGGGGAACTTCATTCTTATGCATGATGCCCTTTCTTTAACGCCTATTGTATGATGCAACGTCCCTTAATTGGTATTGCGAAAGCTTTCACTCTTAGCATAACAGAGGAACATAAGTTCTGAGCTCCTCTTTCCTGTCGCCTTGGGGGACGACGAAAGTTTAAACTCACAAAAGCTTGTTTCAAGCTGAAATCTTCTTTTTCTGCAGCTCGGATAGGCCTTTTCCACGGTTTCGAATTTCAACAAACCAGAAGAGACATGTCCTGAATGGATTATCTGTAACACCCTGCATGAACAACTTGATCAATGATTTGTTGTTCGGCGGGTTCGACGTGATACAACTCGTAAGATGACGTTTGTACTGAATGTAATAGTGTACTATACGGTTGCCTAGTCTGAGTTTCAAGAGTTCAAAGCGACCCCTGCGTTAAATTTGCGGTGATTCAGATGTTTGCCTTAGCAGGGACTTGAAGTCTTCTAAGGACCCAGAAACAAATGGGTCGTGTAGCTTAAGGCACAAGTCTTCGCACTCCATGTCAATTTCGACTTTTAAGATGTGACCTTCATTTGCTCATCACCGTTGTCACAAGCCCTTATGGCGTCATCTAGCTCAACAAACCATCTCAGCAGATAATCTTCTTCAGCTGCTCTGTATTTGGAGATGTCAAACTTCATGAATTTGGGCTGACGCGAGTGTGTCGACCCGGTGGCAGCATTCTGCTGCTGTCTCAACAATTCAAACTGTTGATCACTCCGTTCTGTCAACAGCTCTGTCTGTTGAGACTTTTTTTGGTGAAGCAAGGCTAACTTTCCCAGTTTAGCGCCTAGTTCATTCCGAATTATCTTAGTAATGTTATCGTGGTGCCCGTATGGATTCAGAGCGGACAGCAATGCGCCTGCGGCTTCTTGTCCTATCGTTAATCTCGAGCGTTTGATAGCATCCCATTCGATTTGACTCAAATGGAAGTAGCTCTCGTGCGCTAGATGGAAGTACTTGGCTTCATCATCCAACATGTTCGTAGTCGTTGGACGGACTACAAAGTGCTACCAGGTGTAATGGAGCAATGGTCGCTTGTACTGTCACAGTACAAGCTAATTGTACTTAACACATAGTTAGGTGGTGCCTCGGGAATTTACGTACACGAGTCGTGCAGAGGAGGGGCTCAACGCGAGACAAGGGTAAAGTAGAACAATATTTAGTATAGTTAATCGTCTGTATTTAAATCCTATCTAGTCTTCATTTAACCAAATTTAAGTACAAAAATGTATCGTAACTATGTGCTCACCACTAATTGCGTTCTTCTGTTGTGACCCGGTTTTATTGGTGATATCATCGACATACATCAACCAATGAGCATTATTTTAATTTCTGCAGCACCAGCATAATTTTTAGCCAATCTTGTGAGAACATTCCATTTGTCCTAACCGAAATATTAGTACTTGATACTTAACTTGTGTAAACTATCATAAACGGAGGCACCCCGTTACATCTCGAGATTAATATGTTTGAACAAATAACTGAAACGTTGATATAAACCAATACAGTCGATTTACAGAATAGATTGGAGATAGTTTAACTCTCAATTTTAGCTCCGCTAAACGTGCTCACATTCGCAGTGATCGTGGCGGGATCCATATTAGCCGATGAATTAAAAAGGATCCAACGCTGTCGTTGACAACGCCGACGTACACAACGTTGTAGCTGATGAGTCCATCGTCGAAGTATTCATCGTCTTCCATCTACGCATTATTATCGATGAGGATATCTGATCGCACTCTGACGTTGTCAAGAAGTTCGCTCGAAAGTCCCTCCGGATCTTGTCCGTAGATAATTGTATCTGTGACAGCAGCGAGCATGAGTCAAACGAGGAGTTTCATCGTGGAATGAAGGTGGTGAGGAGGCTAAGAAGTCTATGGCGAGTTGCAGAATGATAAAGCATGTAGACGCGCAAGTCAGACCGGGTATCGAGTCGATCAAATCGAATCGGATCAAAACCAGTTTCTTAACTGTTTGGAAGTGAAATTTATGCCACACTGTAGCAAACAAAATCTGTGCTGTTGATGCCAAAAAAATCATTCGAGATGACCGGGACAGGCGTATGCAGACAGATGGATGTCAAGCAAATGATAGTTACTCGGATGCAGCTAAAGTTTGCACCTTTCTCAATCATCAAATGTGAAGAGGTTTTGATCTGAATTACTTGCTACACTCGAATAGTAAAAGGCTATGGTTACATTTATCTCTCGGTAGCAGACCAGCCCTCTCGATCTAATGTCACTTGATTATTTGTGCATTATGCATCGTTGGCCGCACTTTGTTGTTCACGGCTTTACCGAGAAGGAACATCCCTGTTTCTCTTTTTCACATTCGTCTGTTTAGAAAAGCAACAAATCATCAACGAGTGGCCTTAACATGCAATCTGTCAACACTTTAATTAATCCGCACACACAGCACAACCCACGCCGCCAGCCCTCAGACTAAAACATGATGAACGTACAGAACTTGATTCAGTTCTATGGACTGAATTACTAAAATTAAGAGCGAGCTCCGGATCTTGCTTCCCTATCCTACACTGTCTATGGATGTTGTAGGTTGACACCGGACATAAATCCATCCCAACTACGATAAATTCGTACACCCCTTCTGACCATGATGCTCCGATTTAGCTAGAAATGCGCTCCTTGACTCACGACAAACAACATTTAAGAAGTGATTTTAGAAAGGGGATATTTATAATACTCGGCCTTATTTTTTAAATGCCCGCATTCAGACGGTTACTTGGTACGTCTCTTTTCTGGATGTATGCATCCCCCTTCCTTCGCAGGTCAGACAGTGAGATTTGCATCTTCTTTGTTTCTTTGGCAAAGAGCTGCCTTAGTCTTCGTGGCTTGACAATCCGTCGCAGCCTAACTAGCCACATTAGGTCTAAACGATATAGCATCTTAGCGATAATTGCTGATGATTAGGCCATTCCGCGTCGCGGCTGATCAAAATAGCGATTACAATGAGCACTTGAGTATCTTTAATGTAACGGGGCATCCTTCGCTTAAGGTTTCACGAAACTTTACGTACACTAGTACGTACAGAGGAAGCTTATTTGCTGAACAACTAGGTTGAGTAAAGGGTAAAAAGAGAACTGCATTTAATTTGGTGAAGCTATCTATATAATTTCATTCTTAATCTGACTACAAGAAACTACGTCGTCGTATGAGGACCACATGCTCACCACTCATTGCGCGCGTCCAGCAGCGATTGTTAGTAGTAATCTATGGATGATATGTCTTTTATCAAACAATCTTTGAGCAGCGCATGAATCAACCTACAAGGGGGATAATATTCCTTCAACATTATCCATCTTAGATTATATTGGTAGAATATTGTCATGCTAGACAATCTCCATATTGACACCGTTTGGTGTCAATATCATGTAACGGGCTACCCCGTTACATCACCGCCTTTGAACAACAATAACCCGTTGATTGTATAAAATTGGTTGGGGCAGGGTGACCACCGTTGGATCACTCTGGGAAAGAAAGCACTTGTTGGTCAAATCCCATTCATTTGCCAACCCAACGCATGGTTATAATATCCAACCGAGCTGCTATTGCAGCAGCAAGAAAGGCGGCTGCACGCATGCGTGCAACCAAAGAGGGTACTTTATAAGCATCAGCAGCGGGTACCGCGAATCGCAATGTAGATGAGTCTGAAATAGAGCTCATCTATTCTTGCGGGTCAGATGATGTATCCGACTCGAAGGCGACACCTCACGCCTTTGGATCATCCGGGGCGGACACTGCAAGAGCCAGGTTGACTGGCTCTTCCTTCACTATACGCATCCATGCACACTCGTTTCTCGAAGTGCGTTTCTATACGCAGAGTAAATCCATCTCGGCGCGCATAGGCAAAAGCTATATCCTCGACAGGGAATCACCTTTTCACTACTTTTTCTCGATCTTCCTCTTGCGGTATCGAGCTGGCCGATGATCTTATCGCTGGTTTTAGGTGGTAACTATTGTTGGCATGCCAGCGGCATGGAAGCGATGTCACCATTAGTGTCGGTCATGTAATTTATGCTACGGAGAGGGCGATCGAACGAAGAAGGTTGGCAAATCTTACTGTCTGACCTGCGAAGAAAGAAGGGTGCATACATCCAGCAAAGAGACATGCCAAGCAATCGTCTAAATGCAGGCATTTTGTAAAAACGACCGGACATTTTAAGAATTCACTTATAAAAAGCGTATAAAAAGATCGATTTTTTTCGAGCCATCACCACATACGTATACGGTTGCTCCAGAAATACGGGATAAAACCCGTCCGACTTGGTCGAGCATAAAACCCACACAAACGTTTCTAACAGTGTCAAAAAGAACCATGTCGGCCGATGAAGAGCTCCAGCAAGATCAAGAGAGCGCTGCTATCCTCCCTCGCTGCATTGAGTGCGGCGGCTTTGGTCTAGGACTTGTAGCGAATCCGCAAAAGGTCTGCACGCACTGCGCACGCGTCAAAAAGGTCTTTTTTGACCCGGATAGTAATAAATTCTGCCGGGACGAAGGGTTTGTGGACATTTCACCCTCGGCGGACGGCGGTGTGTTAAAAAAGGTTAAGTCATTTCTAAATCATTTCTATCGGTGGACTGGTATGTTGTGGCTCGAAATTTTTTGTATACGTATACTTATTCGAACATGCACTTGCCTTTGTATTTGCTTAATGTTGTTACTTCACGTACAGATACTCCGCGAGGGACAAAGCGGGAAACAACAGCTGGAAGAAGGCTGTCCGACGTTTGGTTCGAGACAGCTTTTATGTGTTTTTTGATGTCGTTAATTGCTGTTATTGACGTTGCTTTACTGACGTTCTATGACAATATTACTGGTGTTTTTGACAGTGCAATATGTGGGCCGCTTAATGGACGGCTCTATTTTTGACACAACGTACAGAAGTGTATCTTTCAACTGCACATGATCAACCAAGGTTATTTCCGGCTGAACTTCTGTTGTGCTGCAGACGTGACATGATTGACGGCAAGCACGTCGGTGGAACGGATGATCCTTTCGAGTTTCAATTGGGTCGAGGTGAGAGCGACGAAGGTGTCGCTGGAGAATTTCAAGAATTCAATTAGCTGACTGAAAGTTTTGTGTGGATGCGGTTACTACAGAGAAGGTGATCCAAGGGTGGGATATTGGTGTAGCAACGATGAGCGTGGGCGAAGTGGCTCGGTTCATCATTGCTCCAGCATATGGATACGGCCATGAGGGGTTTGCACCGAAAGTGGAACCTGACGAGACGCTCGACTTTGAGATTGAATTGCTGAGCTTTAAGGTGCATGTTCGCCATGTCGGACGTTGTAAACACGACTGACGATATTGATCGATGGTGTCGTGCATGGCTTGTTCTTTAAAATAGGACCCTTTGCCCCGCTTTCCAACGCAAGCAGAACTCGCTGAATCTCGCAAGAAACAGGATGAAGAAGACCAAAAGCTGCTGGAGGAGAATCCTCCGCCTACAGTTGGTGCGTTCGGTCAGATGGTTGTCAACTGTATGCGAAGAATGCTCATTTTTTCCGCACGGTCTGTGCCATATGTACTAGATGAACGCATCGAATGTGCCATGGAGCAGAAGGAGAAAGGCAACGCTCTGATTGCTGATCACGATTACAGCCAGGCGCAAAAGTGCTACGACTCGGTACGTTTGCTTTCGTTTTTCCCTCTTCGACGTGGCAGTTGGTAAGAGGGGTTCTGCTGACATTTGTTCGGTCTTAGGGCTTCGTGCACATCTTTTTTGCAAAGGAGGAATGGGAGAACTTGGTTTCCCAAGAAGACAAAGACAAGGTGAACAAAGTCAAGCTGGTGCTTTACCTCAATCGAGCGCTGTGTAAGATCAAGCTTGGGAAGATCGAAGATGCGCTGTGGGATTGTGATCAGGTAACTACAAGCTCCATGCGACCAATCGAGATGAATAGTTCTGATTGAATTCGTGCACAGGCGATTCTACTTGATTCGAGCAACAGCAAGGGCCATTTCCGTCGGGGTCTAGTGTTTACCGAAAAACTGATAGGCGAGCTGGAAAAGGAGAGCAAAGGCGAGTTCTGGATTGTCGACAAGGGCTTCGAGTATGCTTCAGAGGCAGAAAAAAGTTTTGACAAGGCGAAGCAGCTTATTGGTGACACCAACGATCGCAAATTCGTGCATGCGTTGGCCAACCTCAAGCGAAATCACGTACGGACCTCTCCGTATGAATGTTGACCAGTTCTAGTCGTTTCTGACGTGTTGAATGTCTACTGCGCGTAGGCGCTGTTGAACAAGTACGCTGCCAAGTACAGAGAGGACGAGAAGAAGCTGTACAAGGAGAAGATCTTTGACCGTTTGGAAGCTAAGAATAAGGAGCTGGAGAAACTGGAGAAGCAGAAAGCAGCAGCCGAAGAGTTTGATGATATGCCTGCACTCGAATGAGTGCTAGCCTGCTTGCTGCAACAAGGATGTAACCCCGATATATATCCTTGTGTCAACACTTCGTGCTTGCTCTCGTTTCATTGGAAAGTGCTGATTGATCCTATCTCTCGATGGACGCGAGCAGCTACAAGTCCTGCTCATCATCCGACTCGATATCGCCGTACTGCCACATGCAAAGACGCTGCTTCTTCGCGGTTTCCTGGGCGTCAAGCAGACCGTCGACGATAGGTTTCTGGAACGGCAGGACTTGGCGAAGTGCTTTGCGGTCTGTGCGCAGCAAACCGGCTTCTACTAAAGTGCTCGAGACACTCTTGCCTCCAGGCAGGTAGAGGGAGACCTGCATGCGACCGTGATCGCCCATGCTGTGAACGCAGCACGAAAGGGTCTTTCCCCACGCGATTTCACTGAGACGCATGGCTGCCCCAGCTCCGAACTCGTCTGTGGCCGCCAGTGGCTTGATCCAGGCAAAAGTAGCCTCTTTGGCTTGAGGAGGGAACTGCAGCACGTCAGCATCAAGCGGACGCAGACGGTTGGCCGTCACGGTCGTCATGTTACCGTAGTCGAGGAAGCGAACATGGGCAGATCCGTCTGGGTGAATGTACTCGACCTTGGCACGGTTCCAGGCAAGCCCTCCGCCGTCATCGAAGAGGGCGGCACACACGGCATTGCGACGAACCTCGAAAGCTTTGCCGGCAAGTCCGTGCGTTTTCGAAAACGCTTTCATCTTCTCCTCGACAGCGGCGCAATTGCGGTCACCCACATTTTGGATGTAAAAGTGGGTACCGTTGATGATCTCGGAAAGCTTCACGCGCGGAATCACGTCATCCTTCGTCTTCACTCGTGTCTCCTGAGCAGCCTTAACTGCGGCTTGGGCATCGTGCGTAGCCCAGTAATTCTTCTTCTGCGTCTTGGCACGCTCCTCGGCACGCTGAAGCACGTTGCCCAATGCAATGCGTTCCACACTGAAAGAATCGACCCAGGCAAGACCTTCTTCAAGCAGACGCAAGCCAAAGTTGTGCTGGTCTTCACGCGAAGCCTTACCGCCGCCACTCTGGACCAAGAACAACGGACCAAACGCGTTACCACCACGGTCCATGTCTTCGATTTCCACCATCACTTCACGCTGCATGACGCCGCGCTTCGTAAACAGCTTGGCTTCTTCGCCGAGTGGCTCTGCGGGCGCGACGATCACACCTTGAGCTCCATGACGGGCAGGCTGTGGACACTTGACACCGGCGATCATGAAGTTTATCAGACAGTTTTCCTTCGGAACAAAAAGCTTCATGCGCGTGGCCGAGTATACGTGCTCCACCACAGCGCGAAGTGAGCGCTCACGTGTCAAAAATGGTAAGAACTGCTTGGCTTTCGTCGCATCGAAACACAGGTCCGTCACACGACGCGTAGAGGCCGGGGGCTCTTTCAAAGAGTGCAAATTCTTCTTCTGCGTCTGTGCTTTCGTCTCGGCCGTCACGAGGTCGTCGTAGTATTCGCTCTTCTCCTCTTCGGGACGATGACGCACCACCTCAGCCAGACCAGCAGCGACGACGTCAACAGCGAGATTTGCACCCTTGGCTTGTGGATCCTTCTTCAGTGCGTTCGCCGACGGCTCAAGAAACACGGAGGCAAACAACATCACGTCACTCTGACCGGACGGGCTGGGTTTCTCATACTCCACCTCAATGTGCACAGTCTTGGCAATAGCACGGTGGCGCAAGAACTCTTTGGCCTCCACCGCGTATGGTACATTGGTCTCACCACGGCGTTCATTACCGAGACGCGGCGCACGTAACGAGCTCAGATAAATCCGCTTTTCCTGCTCAGCTGGCGTGGCTTCGCCCGGAACGTAGACAACGAGGCAGTCACCGCTAACCACTTCCACAACTGTACCAGTGAGTTGTTTGGCAGAGTGCAGCGTGGGCGCTTCATAGTCCCGCCACACCCGCAGCTTCTGCTGCTTGGCACTCTTCTCTGCTGTGCGCATAGCCCCTCGATTTGCTGCACTCGTGAACAACGAGCTCCAGTCCGCCATCCGTGCAAGTCCATTTTTCAGCAACTCGACACTGATATTGTGACCCGAAGGGTGCAAAATACTGCCGAGCAGGTTCTCGTGCTTGTCTGCACCTTCAAGCTTGAGCTCGACGTCCCGATGCAGCAGTCGCACTTCCGTAAAGTGCTTGGCTTCCCGCGCATGTGGCGCCGGGGAAGCTTCTGGGAGTAGTGCTCGTGAAGCACCCGAAGCTGCTGCTGCTGCTGCTGGTGGCACTTCACCCACTGGATTCAGACGAGGACACTGCACACCTGCCAGAGCAAAGTTCACGAGCTGCATCGAAGGCTTCAAGATGACACGAAACGACGCCCCATCCCGCACACTTTCAATCAAGGCCGGGACCAAATGGCCCTTGAATTGCTGAACAAGTGCCGAGCCATCAGCTCCACTCCACTGGACCGTCACGTTGGAATCGCCTTCAGCATACATGCCTCGTTTCGTCACCATAGCTTCGTGCTCGTGGTGGAGCATCGTCGCGTGGTCCACACAGATTCCGTCCCGAAATTGATCCAGCGGCTTGACCTTGGCATACCCTGCACGTGCTTGGGCAACACAGAGGTTCTCTCCGTCAATAGCACTGTTAGTACTAGTGGACTGGAGGAGCCAGACCGAGCCAAAGTCCCGGTTGATACTGGCTACGCGGTACTCGACTTGGAACCGCACGGTTTTCCCGATGCATAGTTTACGCAAGTGTTCCCGACTGGCCCAAGCAAAAGGTTCGGAAACTTGGTCCGAAGAGCGGGCGAGTCGTGGAGCCTGTAAGGATGACAGCGTAAGTACGAGCTCAGGAGGCGGACCGGTTGCAGAGGTGCCCATGAGCACGAGCGTGTCGCCGGAGAGCACGGCCTTGACGATGGCTTGACCTGAAGCCATGTGTGCGAGGAGGAAGGAGGAGGAGGAGGTGGTGGGTAGGTGGTATTCACGATGGTGGAAGTGATTGAGATGTGAGGGAGCGGTTTGGAGTTAGGTTGGGTTGGGTTGGGGTTTTGCGGAGCTGCTCGTTGTGGTCGTGTTACTTTTGGAGCGGTTTCGGAGGTGACACGTAGGTGGTATGTGTTTCTAGAGGTGGAGGATGGCTTGTGGGGGGGAGTGGCGTATTTGTGTTTAAAGACATGGGAGGAGGGGCGAAGTGGCTCGAGTGGAGGTATGGGAGGCATAGGATAGAGTTGCTGCGAATAGAGTTGGTGTGGGGACTTGGACGACTTGGTTCTAGCAAGTCACATCTGTCGAGGGTCATATCGACTGCGAGCGAGGGTCGCAAAACGAGATCGGTCATTGCGATCGCGGTTAATGGGCTTTTGTGTCTATCGTTATGAGGGACGCAATGTGAGTCAACTACTGACTGACTACTGGCTACAGGCCACTGTAACACTAGCAACTTACATTGTTTAGATAGTAAGCGAGTGACCTCATATCAGCTCGACAGCTTCAACTAGCCTACCTGCTGACCTTTTCCATTGCCAATGCACAGCCATGCTAAGATCTGGTACGACTGTTCTGAAGTTGTTGTCGGCATTCGCGCCTCCTCTACGTCGCCCTCACTCACTTCTTACTTCTGTGGCGTCCCCAAAATGCCCACGACCCAAATGACCAACGTCCATCCTCAGTATCGAAAACCTCATTGTCATTGCCGGCCGACTTCTTGCCTTCTTTCTGTAGCGCCGAAAAAACTCGTAGGCAGTCGAAGCCACGGTACGTGCCATGCTTGTCAGGAGACGGACGGTCTTACCGCCGACACCGGACTCGTGCCTGGTCTCAACGGTTGTCCGTAGAGATGAAGACTCGACCAAGTTGGGTATAGCTTGAACGCCATCAGTTGTGATTGCAGCTCGTGCAGAAGCGACGGCGAATGCCATGAACTGGATCCGCATGGCCAAAGGACGGGAAGAGGGTCGACTTGAGAACTGCTTGGAGTGGTTGCGAAGTCGGTAAATGGATTCAGGAGGAGTCGGTGGGGAACTAGAAGAGCTCTGGATGATTCCGTGGAGACATGGCATTGCTGATACGGGGCTGTGGAGAATACGGGTCAGCGTCACGGATCTACGTTCGGCATGTAGCCTAGTTCTGAAGCTGCACGGATGTTGTTGACGATTTAGTTGCTACGAAAAGATATTCCAGAGTTAGCAGATGGACACGCGACACGGCAAAGAGGCAGTTCGCTCACAGCCATCTGCTTCCTCTTTTAGCTATCGCTGCTGCATAGCTAGAGCAGACGAACAACGAGTTGCCAAGATCTTGGACCGTCGAAATGGATCGGTAAACAGGTGGCAGCCAAGACATGCCGATATCACGGCGTCCCATCTATCAAATCGTCCCGTTGTGATGAAATGTGGGGGGTACCTGCCGGGATGTACGCACTTGTCCCTGGTCAGGTGGTGTGCTGGATATCTGCTTCAATGCTATTGTGGGGCTTGACGCTCTGAAGTTGAGGGCATCGAACTTGACTGGAACGCGAACGGATCAAGAATGAACGTCTGCTGCTGACTTTGTGCATCTTTGGTCGTGCCTTGGTCTACGATAAGCAGGACAGCGTTGATTCGTGAACGTAACTGCACTGCTGGAAACTGAAGACAACTGGGTGGTCATCCTGCGACGGAAGGGTGTCATTGCGTATTCGGAGACCCTCTCCAGCCTAGAATTGAGCATGCAGCACCGACGCTTAGAAGCAGTAGCACTAGGATCTGTAGACTTGACTCGCACCCTGTACATCCCGTTTCTGCTCTTCCTACTTTTACGAGGTTGGATGATCGAGAGATGGACGCCAATTAGGCCAATGTAGTCATCAAGGTATGCTCATAAGACCAGGTCGTGAGTGTCGTGTCGCAACAGGAGCTAGTGTTGGATGTGAATGGATGGACGACCGCGGGTCCTTGAAGCATGAACTTCTGTGTATGAATGTTAAGGAATATGCAACAGCTCTAACTACGACCTCAGTCCCTACGCAGTACTAGCTCGTTGTTAGTACTGCGTTAGAAAGATAGTGCATGATCGATCCCGTAAATGGAGACGTCACCACGAAAGACGAGTTGAGTTGGCTCCCGGCTTGATAGCGAAGCAGAGCGAGCCATGTACTACTTGTCCGATTCGCTCGAGTCGCCGTCTGTGTTCACGACGGATTTACCATTCACATCCACCTTCAACTGCAGGTTATCAGACGAGCTCGTGGACGAGCTATCGTCTTCTTCCTCTTCGTTCTCATCTTCCTCTTCGTTCTCAGCCTCATCCTTTTCCTCAGCAATGTCTTGATAACCCTTCTTCTTGCTTGCCTGGGACAAGGCCCGGAGCGACCTCTTGCCATGCAGCGCTGAAGCTGCGTAGCCAGTCGCCTGGTGGTTGCCGCTTGTCAGGAATCGGATCGTCCTGCCGTTGACATCGAGCTGGCCTCTAGCATCGACGCGCGACCGCAGGGATGAAGACTTGACCGAGTCGGGCACAGCTTGGACGCCATGAGATGTGCTTGCAACGAGTGCAGAAGCGACGACGAGTGCCATGTATGGGATACGCATGGCAGAAGGACAGGGTAGAAGGTGCTGTGGATCGACTGACGAACTGCTTGGTAGCTGGCAAATTGGTTTATGAAGAGTTCGTAGGGACACACGACGGGTTGTGAAGATGCTGTGGCGACGTGCGCCGTTGTTTTCAGAGAGTCCGCAGCCCACCAGCTTCAAGAAGGGCAAATCGACAGACGATGCCGTTCCTCGATCTCGTCGGGGTGGGACATCTGAAGAAATCGTCGTGTGATCGAAGTTGCAGTCATGTTAGTACCAGGTTAGCTGGATGTTAAGCCGAACACATGGCTGGAGAGGAGTATTTCCCTGAAAACAGCTTGTAGCACGGAAGGCGAATGTCTCACCTCGTTGGAGCAACAGCAGGGATCGGCTGCTTACAAAAGCGTGGCCGAGCTTGGGAGCTGCATGGAAGTTGCTAGTTTATTGTCGGGCGATGTCATGACGTGGTAGAAAGAGCAGGTAGCGACGCTATTGGGAAGATTGGCACTACACCAGTACTGGCACTCGTACGACGTGCATATCATTGTATCCCTCCTGATACGAGTCAGTTGATGACAGTTGCGACATGGATGCACGACAGTGTCCTATGTATCCATCGATTGTGTTGTCGTCACGAATATTGAGACCATCGAGAGGATGGACTGGTCCCTTGCGGACCACTTGGTGGGCTATCGGAATACCAACCCATTCATCTTCTAGCTTAGAGGCATTAATGGTAGCTGGACCCGTGTCACGCATGGCGTTTCGTTTTGTCCCTTTCTTCAGTGCACATAACGTGCGTCTCGATACTTTTGTGAGCGAGTCGTGGTGGCTTAAACGAAGTTATGACGATACTGGCATGATCTATTGAGAATGAGATCATTGCAACAGGAGGTCATAGATAGACACGTCATGTTCCTCACCGAGTTGTGCACAAAGTCTGACAAAACGTGCCTTGTTTCGAGCTCGTCAACGGACTTGTCCCCAATCCGTGATGCTGTGAGTAAGTATACCACGAATGGCAAGGCCTAAGTTGCAAGCTTTTGCTGATTCGCAAAGCACGGGTTCAATACAGTTTGCACATATTCAATAGCAGCAATAGCACTTCAACTTGTTCATCGACAATGCCCTCCATCCAGTCGTCTATAGAACCAGTTAAGCAAAGTCTACATGCTGAATACCCACCAACTCGTCACCTTCTGCTCATGTCGTGGCCTGCAGCATCTCAAACCATTGCCGAAGTGAATCGGATAAAATCTCCGGTAGCATCGTCGACGTCGGCAGCAACACGTAGTACGGGAACGGATAGTTCTCGAGGTACGGGACCATCCGCACTTTGCCCTTGTCAAACGTGACGCTTTGCGTATCCAGAATGGACGTTTGCTGCTGACTGCTCATACCTTCAGCTGCACCTTGGTCAACGACGAGCAACACAATGAGCTGCTGACGCTCCAGAGCTGTCTCGATCAGTTTGCGGATACGGATGCGGCCGTCCGAGTCAAAGCGGCCATCCGAGATGAGGAACACAATCTGCGTGAACTCGACTGCACTACTGGCAGTTGAAGCTGCTTGCTTGGCTGTCGCCAGTAGCTGCAGGATCGTGTCCAGCGTCTGCACCATGTTGGTCTTCTTCTGTTGAAAGCCAAAGCGACTAATGACACGACTCCCAGCGTCATCCGTGAACGGCATGTCGAAAGCATGCAGAAGCTCCAGCTCGTGTCCGAACTTGACAACAGCCAGCTCGCCCACCTCGAGCTGTGTCATGCCCTTGCATAGCGTGGCCAGCGCCTCCAAAGCTAAGCGACCTGCGTGGTTGTCTGCCATAGACTCCGAGTCGTCAATCGCTAGCATCACTTGGTACTGACGCTTGGACGGCCGTGTACGCCGCATCCAGATCTTGTCCTTCCGGAACTGGCTTGCAATGTACGGGATCACTTTGCGCATGTTGATGCGCTTGCCCGTACGGTAGTCGCCTTCTAGCTTGGCACGAAGCATAGGCTCCAAGACGAGCCGGAGCTGCTCGCATAAACGCTGAGACGCGCCAGCAGTGAGAGCCGTATACTTGGTCCACAACTCGGCACCACGTTCCTGCTCGGACTGCGACGACCAGGTCGCAATGGACGAGTCCAGCTCATCGCGCAGCGCAGCAATCTCATCCGGAGACAGTGGCGTCGCCGTTTGAACCTCCGTGTCGTCATCCTCTTCTGGAAAACTCGTAGCAGGGGTCAAGTCCAGCTCTCGTAATCTCGACGGGATCGCGTGCTCCACTTCCTCGTCGACGAGCTCGTGCTCACCTTTGGTAAGTTCCTCCGCTTTCATCTTGTGGTCTTCTTGCCTCTCAGGCTTCGTCGACACTTCATCAGTAGCATCCGAATCAGGCGCAGGCTCATGCTTGATCGATACAGGATCATCCTTTGGCGTCTGCTCGTCGATCGGTATCGTCGAATCTTCTTCGTCAACATCCATAGCCGATGACGCTTCATTTCCAGCGTCCAACTCGTTCTCTTCCTTCTCAACATTCCCGCTCTCCTCTTCCTCAGCCCGAGGTTGGTTCATCACTTGGTTTTCATCAGCAGCAGCCAGTGCGTGCTCCACGTTTTCCATCTCCTCATCGTCATCAACAAACTCCGCTGTCGTCATTTCATTTGCAGCCTTCTCCTGCTTCTCGGGGCTGTTGCCATCCGAATCCTTCTCGTCCGTCCGCTCAACCATCTCCACGCGCTTCTTCCAGTGCTCCTGGGCTTCCCGGGCGTTGCGGTACGGATTTGGTTCACAGCGATCGCGACGTTTCTCGCGAGACGGCTCCTGCTCCGGATCATTGTCAACTTGCGACTGCGGCTTGTACTCCTGCTTCATGTTTGGGTCGTTGCTGCTACTCTGCTTCTGAGCACGGCTGCTACTGTTCTCGTCGTTCCTCTGTTCTGGCTCCTGCTCTTGAGCATCAGCATCACTCATTTCCTGATCCTCCACATCCATACCATCCACTTCTAGTTCATCCTGGCCTTCCTTTGACTGAGTGCCGGCAACCGTCGAAGCTGCCTGCTCTTCCTCCATGCTCTCAGGAGTGTCAACCTGCTCCGGATCTTCCTCTTGCTTCTCTTCAGCTTGTTCTGGATCATCTTCAAGACCGCCACCTCCTAGCTGGACCTCATTGTCTAGTTGTTCGTCCTCACCTTCCTCCTCAACATCCTTGTCCTCTTCATCACCACCAGTTCCCTCCCCATTCGCTTCATCCTCAGCCACTTCGTCCTCCATCCCGTCCGGGTTTTCCATGTTTGGATCATCCGGATTGTCCCCCTCGACGTCACTATCGCCATCGTTATCATCACCGTCATTATCAAGCTGCATATCTTCCGGTAGATCGTCGCCGTGCTCCTCTTCAGGATTGTCCTCTCCGTGGCCATCCTCCCGCTCTGTCGGGTCGACATCGTGGTGATCTTCATAATCGTCCTGAAAGTCATCGTTGACCATATCCTCTATCTTTGCGTCGTCGTCGTCGTCATCACCATCGTTGGCATCATTGTCGTTCGACTGATCCACCTCCGGCTTCTGCTTGTCCTCTGTCTCCTTCTTCGGGTCACCCTCCTCTTCGTCATCGCCATCCTTACCGCGCACTTCATCCTCGAGTGCCTCGCCTTCTACCTTTGAGTTTTCCTCAAACTTCTCCTCCTCCTCGTTAATGTCATCGTTATCGTCATCCGAGTCGTCGCCCCACATCTTTTCATCCACCACATTCTCGTCATCTTGGTCAAACTCACCCATTTCACGGTCGAGCTCTTCCCTCTCGTCTTCATGTTCGTCCTGTTCGTCTTCGTTCTCGTCGGGCACATCATGCATCGTACCATCAAAGTCATTCTGCATTTCCAAGCCTGTGTCTTCAGGCTTCTGGTCAGCTGGTGGCTCGGGCTCGTCCTGCTGATCTCCCTGCAAGCCCAACAGTTGCTCTTCGTCCTCAATTTCGTGACTCACATCCTTTTTTCCTTCGCCTTCGCCCATACCAGTTCCTTCCACATCGTCCTGGAACTGCATTGTGCCGGTATTCCCTTCATCCTCTTCACCGTTCTTCTCATCGTCCGTCCGGCAAAAGCCGTGCTGAAACAGGTTCCGAAAGACTCGTACGAGAATGTACTTCAGCTTCATCACACTCTTATGCGCCACCAAGAAGTCAACAAGCAGTTGTCGGCTGATGCCACGCACATCGACCAGACTTGGCTCAAAGCACTCTAAAAGCGTGAGCGATGTAAGAAACACCTGCTTCCACTCCTCCGACTGAGTTCGAACAAGCTCTTCATACTGTCGCTGCAGCAGATCCAGAAGCGTTGCAAGATGTGATGCAATGTGGTTTACACGTGAATCCTTCACCATGGCGGATAGTGTTCCTAGCTGATCACGAAGCGACCGCACCTCACTTTCTTCATCTTCGGTTGCATCCTGAGTCGTGGGCTCTGGTTTGCTCTCTTTCGATAACTTTGTCAAATCTTGGATCGACACCAGCACCGTTTCAACAAGCTTGTCGAATTGTTCGCTAAACATCGCCATCGACTGCGCGCATTCTTTCTCCATCTTACAATCACCTCGTGCCGAAAATGAACTCGCACTGCTCTCACTTATGGCCCGCTCAAACGTGCTGTTCGTGTGAACGATGGTGGCAAACTCAGCAAGAAACGCATCCAAACAGCTCGGTCTCGTCACAGTCTCAAAGGCTGACGAGATACTTAGCAGGAGAACCCTGATCTCAACAAACTGGGCAGTATTTGAGGCTAGCACATCAGTGGAGACAGGAAGGGCTTGTGAGCCATCTGATAACGACTTCGCTCTCGAGATTACTGGAGACACGCCATACACACGCTTTGACGACTGAGCAAAGGTCATGGAAGTAGCATCACCATCTTGACGAGCATTCACAAGATGTTGAGGAATCGCAGGCACACCAAGTGACCGGGTCAGCCCAGCACTACTGGTAAGCGACTTCTGCACGACATCGCAACGTTCGGAAATGCGCTGGAATTGCTGACGGACTTTAGTTACAACCAGCGCACTAGCCGATGACTGCTGTAGAATCTGTAGTACCGAGATTTCAAGCTCACGTAGGCAGGGACGCAATGCATTGACGGACACCAGCTGAAACGACTGCCACTTACTCGCACTTTCCAGGTTGACAACAACCCCGTTTTTGCTATCGGACATGAGGTAGTTCTTTCTGAACTCCTTCATCAGCTTCAGTGAGTTGAGTCCGTCAACAAGCATCTCGTGACTGAGAGAAGTGGCATGAAGGATCTGCCGCTGCTGAAGCATCGTATACAGCATATTCTCTGCGTAGCCACCCATGCGATCAATTTCCGTGGATGATAGATCATGCGAGAAACTGGTTGACGCGGTGTACCGTAACGACGCCAGTTGGCCTAGGAACCGATAATAGTATCCGTCAGCTCGCTGCCACAGCCATGTCGGTGAATTCTTTGACAAAGGTTCTTTTGTCAGTGCATCCTGGTGCAAATCTCCTGTCTGCTGTTCACTCTTAGTTTTGCGCCGCATTTTCTTACCCTTCTGCCCGTCAGCAGTTGGGAAGCTTTCGGATTCCGCAGCAGCATCCAGTTGATCAATATGAAGACAGTTATCCACATCAGGCACATCCAACTCGAACAATTGCCCGATTCGTTGTAGCTCAGCAGGCAACTGCAGACGATGATATACCATACCTTGACTCCTCAGCTCACTCAGCAAGTCGACCAATGCCTTCTTCTTTGCATTCTTTGGCAGCCCTGTCGCCTTCTGGAGTTTGTACATTCGGTAGAAAATCGTTTCACAAAGATCCTCACACAAGGTGCGCACCTGCTGACGGTGCTCCACTTGGTCGATGGAAAGAAGATGCTTTTGAGTAAACTTCGAGATCTGCTTCGAAAGCACTGGGATCCTTGACCCATACAAGCACGACGTTGGCATCATCACATCATCTTTACTCAGTGCGACAGAAGGCAAACTCGCATGCTTGAGTCGCAACACAGGAGGCCTCTCAGATTCATGCGGTTCCCTCTCTGTCACCATCTTGCCCTTATCTTTCTTCGTCTCTGCAGGTTCTCCATCAAAAGAGGCTTCATGGAGATTACGCTCCGCATTCGGCTCAGCGTCGACCGGTACCACGACACCATCGTCGAGACCCGCGAGCTCAGCCTTCGTGGAATGGATTCCAGCAAACCCACCTTCCTTTGAGATGCCACTGTCCGTTGAAGCATCGATGATAGTTTGCATGGACACAGTCAAGACGGTGTCATAATTGCGCACGAATTTCATCAGCTTGCGATGCGACTTCTCTGCGCTTTCCGCAAGTGAGTAGTACGTTTGTTCATCCCACCGACAAATTTTGACAAACTCGACCAGTTTACGTTGGATCGGCGCCTTCAGGCCACTCCGATGGCGCTCCAAGTATCCCACGTGTTGTCCATAATAACTGCACAAATGGTACAGCATGCTTGCCAACGCGTGTTTCGAAGAGGCTGCAGTAAGGTCGACAGTTGACTTCCGGGCCGTGGAAGGGCTCCAGAGCTCCACAAGCAGCTGAGCGCAGAACGAATACACCACCAGTAGACGAGTCTCGTACTGACCGATAGAGCATGAACGGATGTAGGCGTCCAGCGTTTCGAACAGGTTGTTCAGGAACTCACGCTGTTTGGCTTGACGTTCTCGAGTGCCATCGCTCAACGCCTCAGCACCAGCTCTTCCCTCGTTGAGTGGTGTGAACAACCACTGCGATAGACTGTTGAGGTGAAGCCACTGCAAATTCTGCGGATGCAAATACTCAATACCAAGGTCATCAACCACACCAGCATCCGACTCAAATGATGCTGTCAGAAGCGAGTACATATTGATCCACGTCTTCTGTGCCATTAATCGGTGGTGCTTCTCCTTCACGTACAAAAGATGAGGCCATGAATAGAGCTCCAGCTTCCGCCACCGCGTTACCAAGGCTGAAAGAGCACTGAGCTCCTCACTTATCGAGTACGCCCGTGCTGCATACATTTCCCACTCCTGGGCCTTACGTAGCAGTAGTTCCACGCCAGTAAGGGCTCGAACAAGCGGGGAGCTGATCTCGAAGTTGCGGATACGGTCTGCAATCAACACGATCTGCTGTAAAATGGCATGATCAGGCCATTGAGCCAAGAGCGTCTGGACTTTCACCATCAATCGTTGCAACGGTTCGGCAACCAGAACAACTTCCTTGACCAGTGGATCATGATGGAAATCAATTCCTTTAATGTAGTCACTGTTTAATGCGTCGAACGATGGTACAGCATTCTTTGTCCGAGCAACTACATTGCCGAGGCGAGCTTGAACGAGCGAAGCAGCCAAAACACCAGAAGATGCCACAGCACTCTCAACAGCTGTGGAAACCGTCGTATTCAGAGATTTGCGCAGCTTTACCGCCAGCGAAAACGCTTTTGCAAAGGTGTCCACAATTTCATTCTGGGTAATCGTGACTTCATAGTTCGCGGTCTCGGCATACAACTTCACATGCGTTTCACATAATCGCTGCATAACGCTGTCTGAGATCAGCATATCCGTATCGGTGTCTACTGACAAAACCGATCCCTCAGCATCACCTGCCGAATTAGTCGAGCTGAAAAATGTTTGGAGATCTCGGGTACCGTAGTCTGGAAACTGCTCGCGGTACTCCTTCTCCAGCAGATCTTCTTCCGTTTCCAGGTCCAATTGGCGCACCTTGTACTTAAACTGCTCCTCTTCCTCCAGTCGTTTCTGCTCTTCGCGCTCTTTTTGCTCTTGCCACTTGGTCAAGAACAAATTGAACAGGGTCTTGCTGCTTTGGAGAGCGGTATCGATCGCCGTGGAGTCAAGCGCACGATGTGAGCGCGAAGTCGTCAACGTTTCTCGGAAAAGAAACTCCATTTTTGAAAGTGCCACGTCCAGCAAAGCCACCTCGACTTTGCGTTTGTTCGATACACCAGGACCGAACAAAATTGATATGGCGGACGTGCCAACAACTTGTAGCATCAGCTGAATCCTGCGCCAAGACTGATCCACTTTGTTCACGTTCAAGGTTGAGGGAAATTGCAGTAGAGTAAGAGCCAATCCCTCTTTCTGCTGTCTCTCGAGTGACGCATCCTTCAGGGTTTCGCAAAGGGACCATGTAACCAGTGCGACTCCTTCTTTCACGCAATAGATAGCGGCTGCCACAGGCTCCAAGATATCACGGAAACTCTGGCCAAACTTCGTTGACAATTGCGCAAGAAAGCTATCTGACGTCTGCTGAAAATTCTCCAGTTCACGTAAGAGCTCACGTTTACGCTGTTGCGATAACTTCGACGATCGAAGCGTGGAAACCAATGCCAGCATTCTTTCAGCTGGCATTACCGTGGCGTCAAAACGCAGCAAATCACGGAAGAGTTGTCCGAACACAGAGGTTGCTACAGGCCGAATCTCAATTTTATGGGGGTCCAGCTCTGCAGCAACATTATAGGGCGTGGTTGACTGGTAGCGCTGGATAGCATCAGCAGACAGTTCCGAAACTTGACTGTGCAATTCCTGCAATACACGAGCATCGTTTTCGATCGTATCTGCCAACGGCGTCGGTGACGGATTGAGTCGATGAATTGAAGAGCTTGCAGCGTCTTGCATAGTCAGCACCGCCAAGCGGTTGAGAAATTTTTCCCTTTTCACTAGCGGCTTCGTTACGGGATCCACTGGTGAAGACGGGAGAAGCAATGCGAAGCGCCATAAACCCAGCAATGCCATACTTTCTCCCATTGCACTTGGGTGGTGACCAGCGTGTTGCTCCTGGTCTTTCAATACCATCGATGTCATCAACGGCGCTACGAGAACATCAACTAACATTACAAACGTGTCGTCCTTCGAGGTTCGCATAGCCTTTAACAGTTTGGCCTGAGAGTTACCATCGAATGTCTCATAACCACAAGTTAGCTGAGAAAGAAGAGACTGGATCTCCTTCCACACACAACTCTCCTGAAACGTCGACTCGAACGCGAGCACAGTCGTAACAAAGAGTTCTTTCACAAGCGATATGTTTGTACTCAACATTCGTGTCTCCGACTCAGGCTGCTGAGTTTCGAAGTGGCTCATGATCTTTTCCAGCCGTACCGCACGCATCCGCGCCTCGCTCGTTGGGCACGTTGACTCTTCTAGGTTCACCTCTGCAATGTTTTTGAGTACGACTGCACTCTGGACAGCTTGGAACAAACGTGGGTAGCCCGCGACAACATGGACGTGGTCAGCAGCGTGAGTACTGATAGAAGAGCGTCTGGTAGTCTTGCGCATCTTCTTCCGAGTATCGAAAACGCTAAGCGATATTAGATCCATTTGGTTGAAGCTGTTGCAGCGCAACGACTTGTGAAATTCAAAGAGCACGCCGTTTAAGCGTGATTGAGCTAAGGAGACGAAACAGTCAAGCTCAGCGGTCTCACCATCGTACCCCTCACTGGGCCCCTCCAGAGAAACATACTTGTGCCCGCACCACACGATATCTTGGTAGGCGTAGAAGCTAGCAGGATCTCGAAGCCCCAGGCGCACGATTTTCTCAATGATACCTTCCAGTGACTTCAAAACGTTAGAAATATCCGCTACGATTTCGTTGTATCTCATTTGAGACATGTCGTTCTTGCACAAGCGGTACATATTCATCACATGCAGCAGCTTTGTGATACATTCAAGCTCTCGGCGGGCAAGAGCATGCTCCAACATCGGGCTCAATTGGTAGGTAACCATCTGATCCAGTAACGATGCACTCTCTTTTACGTCAAACAACAAGATCGGCGCATCCTTGCCAATCCGACGATCCTCTTCGCCCAGAAAGTCTACGTGATTATCAGCATTGTCCTCAATTTCGCTCAAGTACAATGTCTTTCGCGATACAAGCTCCGTGATTTTTGACTGCCTGTCTTTTAGTTTCGTAAGAAGGACACCAGGTAGCTTGAGCAACTCTGTCGTAAGCGCATATGTCTGCGTTACTGACGACGCGTTTGTGGTCTTCCCTCGCTTTTGCTCTAGGGCTAAATACGAGAATGCGCAGAGCGCGTGCAACACCTCCTTGCGAGAATCAACGTCCACGAAAAATAGCGGCGACACATCCAGTTTTCCGCTCTTCATCGCGGCTTCCATTGAAGTGACGCCACCAAACAAGAGCGCGAGTATGTCAACTTCGCCATCCGCACTGTCTGTAGATGCGCAAACGGAAAGAGGAGAAAAAAACGACACATTATGTTGCATGAACGTGTCGGACAACCGGCTGAGTACATGTTCAGCTTTCCATAGATCAGCACTACCGGGAAGTATGGAGTGGCCTCCATTTTTCCACAGTACAGCTTTTCGAGAGCTACATCCAACTGTCTTCTCGATGGTTTCCTGTACGCGCTGAGTCATGTCCAGCAAAGCACCCCAGCGCGAGTTCCACGAAAACGCACCAGCTGGATGTTGCTTCATTAGTCCCGCTAGCCGCACCAACGACTTCTTTAACCATCGCCAGTGGATGAGAAAGCGAGTCCACTCGAAGACGTTCACTCGCAACTGCATGGAAAACTCAAACCGGCTTCGAAGAACAGCTTCGACAGCATCAAAAAACAAAGTATCCATCACTAGACCCGAGAGGTCTCCATGAAACCCTGCAAAGAAAGTGTCAAAAGCATCCAAAAGCGGGTACACCAAAAATGTCAGCTCATTTTCCACGCTAGAACGGTCAGCTTGATACTTGTGCACGGCGTAAGACTGCTGCAGAACCGACAGATCGTTCAAACCGCTCTCGAGACGGTGGCTTCTCTTGCTGCACTTTTGACTGCTGCTTTTTGAAGACTTCGTGCACAGTAGATCAATTTCCAAATACTCTTCTTGCTCGCAAAATCTTAACCACTCAGTGCCACTGAGCAGCTTGAGATGACGCTGAGCTACAAGCATGGACTTCCAAACGCTGTCAAGGTCGGTCTTCAGGGAGGGGTTGCTTGCAACACGTTTGGCCACGACGGACTGCAACTTTGAAAAGGCCGCATGATTTGTGGAAAGATACACTGGCGTTGGAGGCAAGCTAGCCGACCTGTCAAGCAAGCTTGTCAGCTGTAGTAATGTTTTGTCATTCATTCTGAAAACGTTGGCGTACGTTTCCGTCTTTGTTATCGACCGGAGGAAACGCGTAAGCAATTCGATCAAGCTCAAGGTGTTCGCGTTGCCCCTCAAGTCACAAGCCATCTTTTCCAATACAAACAAGAGACGGTCAGCTGTAATTGACCAGTAAGTGCTACTGTCGCCGCACGTACTTGCCACTTCGACAATACGACGTAGGGCAAAAGGCGCAAGCGCCACGGCCATCGGTATATTTGCATCCTGTGACCCCAAGGTCGACTTCGACGGTAGATGGTCAAGAGCTTGTTCAAGAGCCTTCTGTGAGTAGTTTGATCCTCGGTGTGTAAACCGCAATGCAACCTCACTCAACCAAGAATCCAAGTCATCGCCTGGATGAGGGTTCGCTATATCTCCACAGTTAGAACCGCCCCAATCAGAAGCCAGCCAGCTTAGCAGTACATCAACTGCATAACTGTCTTCTGTCTGCTGCGAAGACAAAAGAAGATGCTCAAGATACATAACGTCTCGCTGCAGCGAAAACCTCTCACTCTGCTCGCACAGCTCCAGCGTAGAAGGCGCAGCAATCATTGAAAGCGCACGCTGAGCTTGGCCTTGCTGTGATAACCTCAAAGCATCAGAGAATAGTTCAAGAAAATCTCGGCCCATTTCAAGCTGCGCCAACAACCCTTCGCCATAGACACGCTTGAAAGACCCGACAATTGCATGTACGGGGTCTGTCCCACGTGAAAGCTCCGTGGAAGCCAATGAAGACCAGTTTTCCAAGTGCCGGCGGTTAATGCGGCCATGTTTCATACCTGCCACGTGCTCGCCTAGCTTGTTCATCACCCGCTCGTGGGCAGTCTGAAAAGCTTGAGAAAGAGCAAACCCTGGAACTCCACAAGACAGCGCGATCTTGACAAGATCCAGTCGCGATGTGTCCTCTTCCAAAAGTGCGATCTCGATACATCGGTTACGCATCGCGCGAGAAACCTCACCGTACTGAGGGTCCATAGCCAGAAACATTCGGAAATTCTTGTGAGGCCGAATAATACGTAGTTTGCCGTTGATAATTCCACACTCGTTAATGAGCATCTCACCACCAGTTTCCATCAGCGAGTTTAATCGATCCAGCACAGACGAGCTGCAGAAATTGACGTTGTCTAAGAGCAGCCAATGTCCCTTTTCCATAGCCTGGATAAGTGTACCGTCCACCCACTCGAAACAGCTCGCAATCGAGGTGGATGCACTGAGTTGCACCACATTGTCGATACCAGTTATAAAGCCAGCAAGTGCTGCTTGCATCTCTTCATTCTCGGCTTCCCTCTTCAGCAAACTTATGACGTTCTTCATCATATCAACAACCCCCTCATCCAAGTGTCCCTTCGGCAACTTTCTCCCCTGAATCGTTTTCCCGCCTTCGGTGTGATGCAGAGATAACGAACTATCACTGTGGTACTTTGCCCGCGTGGTGAGCGCCCACCAAGAGCTACACAGTCGGCTGAACTTGCTTTGAATCGCAACTCGCTTCTTTTGAGAAATCCCACTGGCCGCAGATGCGAGCATCAATTTCTGAAGTACATTCTCGTAAACAATTTGGATACTCTGCTGAATGTCACGCAGCTGTCGGCCAACATCCACTTGCTCGAAACAGCCAAGCAACTCCGTCGCATCCGTCCCAGCACTCATACCAAGTTCGTGAAGTGTATTTCCACTGAGGGCAGCAAGCAGGCGGACCGAGGATGTCTTCCCGCTCGCAGATGGACCAACGAGAAGTGCTGGCCATGACATATTCACGCAGTGCACCAATGCTTCCATAGGCTTCAGCAAAAAATTAAATACTGGTGGGGCTGCACAATTTACATGAACACCTTGTCGCTCGAGCAACGCGCTTCCGATTTCTACAAAATTCGCAGACACGCGTAGCGGCACGGCACTCCGATCCGTTGGCTTTACGCCAAACAATTCTTCAAAGCGGCGAGAAATGAACGTGCGGTCGCGAGCCGAACGCATTCGCTCTACATAAATGAAGTTTACATAGTAGCTTATCGCTTGTACTTGGCTTTTGAAGCTATCCACCAGTTGTATCTCTTGACTCAGCAGCTCGCAGAAACGAAACACATCGCGTAGATTGAACTCCCACGGCGCGCCAAGGCGTCCGTACCTGCAGTTTACCATGGTGTCTTCATGCACCACTCGATTGAACGCGACCATTCGCTCAACCAAAGTCTTCCCAGTATACTGAGAGTCGCTGAGTCCTACATCCGCGTCCATAACTGCAGAATGCAACGTAGGATACATCGAGCTCGCGATATGAATGAGGTCTTGCTCGTGCAATGTCTCGACAAAAACGCGTGTAAATCGGTTCAAAAAAGATTTTGGGAGTCCCTTACGACCACCGCCCTGTCGAAGCGGATTTTGCGCAGCAAACACTCGAAAAGAGGACGGACACTCAAACTCACGGTCAAGTTCTGGAATGTAAACGCTACCTCGGTGGTCCAAACAAGAATTCAGACCCTCCAAAACGGACTGCGGTGCCAAGTTCAGCTCGTCAAGAAGAACCCAGTCGCCGGCTTTCAGAGCACGCAAAAACACACCGTCGCACCACTCGAACAAGCCGCTGGCATTTCCTTTCCCTGCCTCGTCACTATCCTTGCCACCGAAAGCAACAGGTAAATCCGATCCAAACAGATCGGATATGTCCGTCTGCTCGGACAAGTTGATGCGCACTAAACGATGACCTGAAGCTGCTGCGAATGCGCTGATTAGACTCGTCTTACCGACACCAGGAGAGCCTTCCAAAATGATGGGGCGATTAACTTGCATGGCACGCAACACTCGCTGCAGATTTGACATCGTCGTCGGAGCTTTCAGAGAAAACGACGACTTCTGTTGCGCACCAACAGGTCCGCGAGGGATAAAAAACGGGGTCGTACCGAACGTTTCTTCAGGAACTCCATCCGTTGCAAACGAATTCAACTGGTCAATGCTACATTTGACAGGTAGTGTCGTGACATTCAGTGACTCAATCACTTTTTCCTTTATGTACTGATTCTCGTCCGGCACCAGCGCCAGCAAGTAGCCATACGCCTCTTCTCTAGCTTTAAGGACCGTGTGTAGCGCTTTATCAGAGCCGAGGCCCAGACCGTCCAGTATGGCCAGCGCTGCACCCTGGACAAAAGCCGTCCATGCCGTTACCTCCAGTGATGAGTCAGCTTTTTCTTTCCTCACGACGGATGTGATGAAATTTACCCAACTGAGAATGTCACGCAAAGTCACAGCTCCACATCCGCAGGTACCCCCGTTTGCCTTGTTGAATGTTGTTACGAAGCTCAAAATAGGGTGGCATAGCGAAGCCAAGGCGTCAATAGTCCTTGGCTGGCTACTAGGGTCAGGCGACACAATCGCTCGAGGTCCAACCAACTTGTCGCGAACAATCGTGGCAATATCCTCCAAATCAGAAATTGGCGGGACCCAGATCTCGGTGAAACGGTTACGTAGAGCTGGCGACAACTCGCGCTTGCCAAAATCGCCCCCAGGGTTCATCGTCGCCATCACGCGCCACTTCAGATGAGCTACAATCTCTTCAACTTGATCGCCACCCTTTTCAGCGAGCAGCAGCGTTCGCGTTGGCTCGAGGACACTATTCAGACGCTCCAGCACGGCGTCTTCTGCAAGATTTACCTCATCAATCAAAATCAAATCACCGTTCTTCATGGACTCCACCAGAGGACCGTCAGCCCATTCAAAAATAGACTGGTAGCGTCGTTTCAATACGTCAATATTCTCAACCAGCTCCCTCTGCTGCGTCGATTCACTACCCACGGCGCTAGCCCGCGCATCCTGATACTTTACGAGCATCGCACTTAGCCCGTTGACCTCGCCACCCGTCTGAACTTGTTCAGTTCCCATTTCACGTATACAATCCTCATCACGTAACGTAAAAAAATCACTCAGTGCCTCTTCCAACTCCTGAGCGATCTTCTCTTTCCCACGCACAGGTCGTAGACAGCCGAGAAAATCTGATGTCTCGCTGTGCTGATGACAATTCAAAATCAGGAGCGGCTGGGCGAAAAGAAGCGAGAACAACTGGCAAACTGTAGTCTTCCCGCAACCAGTCTCTCCCACCAAGAGAACAGGCTCCTTGTTTTGCAAACAGCGCCCCACGAGTGCGAAGAGTCGCCGCAATGACTTCGTCAAACTGATTTTATCCAAACCTACTGCATTACCTGAAGACCTAGGCCCATCATTCCTCGATATGCCAGAAGCGGCTTCGTCGATCGCGTGACCCACCATCGCTTGGACACGCTCAAATTGTTCCTCGGTGCCCCATACCGTCTCCTGCTCAATCTCACCATTCTCGTTCAGCAGGTTTGACTCACGGGGCTTTCCGCTGTAATATAGGCTGTCTAAATCGATCTTGACATTGCATTTCTCTTCTAAAACTTGCTTAACTATCTGTTTTTCCTCATCCTTCCGTAACCGTTCAGCCAGCAAACAGTACCCTTCCTCGGCTAGAGCTAGCTTTGTTGCTGGTCGACGATCCGCCCACCGAAGCAAATCACGGGTAGTAATAAATCCTGACTTTCCGGCAAATACTGATGATTGCTGCCGTACAAGTTGCAGCTGCTGCATTATGTCAATCAGTATTCCACAATACGACGGAGGTAGTAAACTGCGCTCTTGCAGAATTGTCTGGAGCTCACTGGGTGCAACTTCATCAACCTGAATCTCTAAAAATCGGTTGCGAAATGCGCGTGATAGTACCTTGCGTCCACCGTACAGCCCTGGTGGGTTTTGCGTTGCAAACAACATAAAATTCGGGTGAGGTTTAACTATTTCCTGTGTCTCTGGCACAAACAGTTCACGGTTGTCATCCAAGAGTCGGTTCAAAGCCTCCAAAACTTCCGAAGGAGCCAAATTCAGCTCATCCAAGATGATCCACCAGCCCATGCGAATAGCTTCTACGAACACACCTTCTTTGAAAGCAAGCTTCCCATTCGAATCGGAGACGTAGCTTCCCAAGTACTCCTGAATATCCGTGTGCTCGTGATTGTTAATGCGCACACACTTTTGCCCGATGCGTGCGGCCAAGTATCCAATCAGCGATGTTTTACCAGCAGACGTCGGTCCCTGAAGCAGCACAGGGTAGTTACCGATCAAAGCTGCCCGTGATAAATGACGCAGATTTTCTTCCACAGACTTTGTGAGCACAAACTTTCGTCGTGAGGTGACGGGATCCGGTAACGAATCGTCTCTCGGTAGCTGGAAGTCGCCTTTGCGAATCCAATACGAGCTCACTAGAACAAAGTCAGCAGTCTTCTTTGAGCCCCCAGGACACGGCGGGGAACGAATCAAGTCCTTTGACTTCATCGTCTTTGCGAATGCATTTTTAATGAGTCTCTCAAGGTACTCACGCGAAACTGTTTCAAGCTGAGTACAAAAGCTAGAACAAAATCCTTCAAACATCGCCCGGGGTGTGCCGTAGCCTCGCTGGACTAGAATGCGCGTAATGTGCATCGCTTGGCTTAGCGTACGAAGCGAGTAGCGAGGCTTGTGACGTGCACCGTCGCTCAATCGTAAATCAGCTTGCTTTCTTGCTTCCAGATAAAACTCGACCGTTTGAGGTACTAAAGTGCCCGCAATTTCCTTGAACTGATTGGAAACCACCATCTGCAAGTCTGAGCGGTCGACACACTCGTCAATATAGATTTCCGTAAAACGATTGCGAAGAGAAGGCGGCAGATCCTTCTTGCCGACGTCCGTAGACGGATTCATAGCACCGAAGATACGAAAGTTAGCATGTGGGCGAATGGTTTCGACATCACCACGTTCTGTGATCGAAAATGCACTCGTTTCGTGCTCCAGCAACGTACTTATTCGCTCCAGTGTGTCGGACGATGCAAGATTGATTTCATCGAGCAGTACCCAATGACCCTCACGCAATGCCTTTACTAAGGCACCCTCCACGAATGAAAAGGCGAAGTGCGATTCGGCTTGCTCTTTCTGCCTGTCAAACCGCATCACTTCAGCCTCAAATGCATCCCATCGGCTTGCCAAATAACTCGTCGACTTACCGGGTGTCGACATTTTGTTACTACCAGTGCTCTGCCATGCCTCACGACCTGCTTCGCCTATGACGCCCTGCACTTGAGAGGCAGCCATATGGATAGCTTTCAGCATGCCTTTCACCAACTTCTTCCATTCCTTTTGCTCTAGCGCAGTTCGAATTACGTTAAGAAAGCCTGCATTGCTCCTTTGCGAAAATGTAGCCGTAAACAGATCTACGAAGGTCACGTACAATGGGCGAGCGAGCAAATGAATTTCCACCGGTTTAAAGCCTCCCACTAGGTCAGAACTGTCACTCTGGATGTTCAAGTTTTGCACAACCAGGTGTTGTCCCATTGCTGCGGCCATGTGCTGGATGATGGTGGTCTTACCACAGCCAGTCTCACCAATAAGCAGTGCTGGCTCACGAGTAGCTACAGTGACTGCCATCTTCTCCAATAGACGGAGCACCTGGCCAGTCATCACCACAGAGCTAGTAGCTGGCTTGTCACCTTGCTTAACCTGTGCTTGTTGGGACAGTGTCGGCAAACGCACACGACCAAACTCCACTTCGTGTAGGTTGAATGTAACATGGGGCTTGTGCTGCTCGAGATAATGCTCAATCTTGTCAGCCTGAACTTCCCAAATGGCTGCTAGCGCGCAAGCGGAATGCAAGCGCGTCTTTGGATCCCGAATTCCTGCGCAGAATACATCAAGTGCCTCTACTACAATGCTCATGCGCTCGTCTTCAGTAATATAACCGTGGCTAGAGAACAAACAATGGCTAGTAGCTCCTGCAGTGTAGGAGCTACAGTGATATATTCGTTTACACCACTTCAGCAAGTCACGTAAGCAAAAATCACGCCCATAATTACGCCGTGTCTCCTTCCACAGATGCAGCGACCCACCAACCTCGTCGCTCGTACCGCCACATACAACACTGTAAGTGATCATCATTTTTGATATCACCTGTTGCGGGATCTTAGCAAAACGGGTAAGCAATATCTGCTCAATCTCGCTATTTGCAAGAGGTGCGACTCTTACACTCGTCCAAACAGAGTCCTGGAAACCCTTTGGCATTTGATGACCATGCGTTGTCGTTCCGAAAATCTGAAAGTTTGGGTGTGCCACTAGCAACTCGCCGCGACCAGGAAGCACCATTTCGCGCGTTTCAAGCAGTGGCATCAACGCCGCTAGCACCTCGAATGGTGCTCGATCGATATCCTCGATAACAACCCACCGCCCCGCCAGCACAGCAGTTGTGAGCGCACCAGGTTGCCATGTGAATTCACCCGGAATGTCAGTACACACATATGATCCGAGCAGCGTCTTGCTATCAATCTGGTCGTCCAAATGCAGCTCCACCATGTCATCGTTGCCAGACAATCGAGAGAGTTCCCGGATCATGGCTGTTTTGCCGCATCCGCCTGGACCTGCAACCAAAATGGGCCGCTTTAGACCGAGTGCAATAGCTAGTGATCGTAAGCTCCGTTTCGTCGACAATGTGGGTACAAGCGGTTCAATACGCACTGACGCTTCTGCCGACACGAGTCGTTGCTCCTGGAGCTTGCTTGTGGGAATAACAACGCCGAAGATATTCGCCAGTGAGTCGTGAAACGACACGGCTTGCGTCTCTACACTGTCACGCCCACCTTTCTGCAGACACGTACTCGCTTTAATCAGCTGCTCTTGCCGTGTCACAGCTTCGCAATGCACCTCAAGTTCAATCTGTCGCACGGTCGGACAGCTGCCACGTACAGCAGCTTCTTCACTCACATTCAATCCACTGAAAAAACTTCTCCGCTGAGTACTATCCATAGTCAAAATCGACGCCGTTGCGCGCGCTGCGTACCAGCGAATGTGCGTGTCATCGTGAAAACAGAGCGGGAAAAACGGCGTCCAATTCCAAAGCAGCACGAGCTCTCGCGGTCCCACTCTCAGCAGTTCAAAAGCTGTCTTGGCAATCCGTCGCAGCCTCGTCAGCGTCTCCTGGCACGGCAACTGCTTCTGAGCAGCGTCCGAGTCCGCGAACGCAAAGAAACAAGGCGCCGTCTCAAAGTACTGCTGTATCACAGCAGCACCAGTAGGCAGCACAAGCAGCAGCTCCGCTAAAGTTGCAGCAACGATCTCCATCCGCTTCATCAGGTCCCTGCACTCGCTGTACGCGCGTGGCTCGTGCTCGTCGTACAGCTCCAGCCCTGGATCAAGAAATCGTACGACCAAGTCCAGCAAGAACGGCCGCAGGTGCAGCACAATCCGCTCCCGTAGTTCCGCTTGAGCGAGACACGAAGCCAATGCTTGAAGCTGTCGGTGCTCTCCAACTGGAGGCATACCTGTCACCAACACTTGAAGAGCCGGGTGGGCCTGAGTAATAGCAACGGGAACCGCGGCAAGCACCTGCTGGAGACCAGAGCGCAGACGACTGACACTGATCGCATAGTTATCACTGTCACTTGAGGCGTCGCAGTGGGCGCTGTGTTCGTCCGAGCCAGTCATTCCAAGAGACTTGAGCTCGAGCGAGTGCTTTGGTTAATGAGCTCTTGACGTACAGCAGTGGCCAACCAAAAGGGTTGAAAAGGGTGGACCACACGGAAGCAGGAGCTGGTAGTCATTTTTTTATTTCTGGCAAAGAAGTAAAAGTGGTTTTACTTGACGCGCGTGGAAACTGCGTGTTTGTTATGTCACTGCAAGGTAAAACCAAATCGAAATGTTGCAAATTGTGATGAGAAAAACCCGTGGGTTTTTTCAATCGGGAAAGGCATTATGTCGGTTTATGCATTGTGTCTTAAAAGACACATGCCTGCATTGTGTTTGATTATGTCGGGTGATGTATCCGAGAATTGGCAGGACTTCGAGCGTATTAAAAAAGTAATCGAAACATTTGTTAAACCTCTCGTTGAACCTCTGACTGAACCTTTAGTTGAGTCAAAGTACCTTCTCCAGGTACTTCGATATGTTAGCTAATAGTTGAGTGCTGAAGTGGTCTTGCTACTCAGAGGGTGTCCGATCAGTTCTAAGACCGGACTTCTCTGTCATCGACCTATGCTCATATCAGCGAGCTCCGTAAGGCTTTTGTTGTTATGTCATCCCGGCTGTAGTGCACAAAAGATACCAGCAACAAATGACAGATTCTAACGATCAAATACTGTATCTCGTGATCGTTGAAGGAGGAGTTACGCGTGGCTGCTGACGGTTTGATCTTGGGTCGATCTATTGATTTACAGCTGTATTAAACGGCACAACATACCAGGTGCACCAACGCCTTTGTACGCTCGTCGTGCGTGCTTGTACACGTGTAAAAAGAATTTTGCGATTGTGTTGACTTGCAACGACAACAACATTGATCAATGTGACCGAAGATTGATGGTAAATTCGACTGTGCCTAGCTGTTTAATAGCTTATGTCTGCCGCTGCTTTCGTTATGTAGTCGATTATGGGGAGTACTCTTATGTTGTCGTCACAAGCATGAACATGCTGCTGCTTTTATCACTGTGGGAACCCGATAGTGATACATGAATTAAGAGCTCATGTTCGTCTACACGCCTGCTGCATCCACTCGACACGAATACAGATATGTGGCACCAAAAACGGCATGTCGTGACCAGCCTGTTTTATCCTTCGTCAAGCCTTGCTCGCTTGCGCTTGAAATGTCCCACTTTTTTGCTGCATGTGCACGTAATGGTCCAAGTACACCTCATTTGTACGCATAGTAAACGCCGAGCAATCTAACGTGAGCAACAAGAACGGCGGCACGTAGTAGTGACCGGTCACATTTGTTACGACGAATTAAAGGACAGCTGCATAATACCACCTAGACACCGTGAACGACATCACACCCATCACACACACACTGCAAGTGACGCCGTGAACAAGGCCACAGAACGCCAAATCCATATTCATCAAGCCACGAATATGGCTTTGGCGAGAGATTTCCGGCTCAGTGAGATTGAAGGATATATAGCGGTGTCGCTGACGGCGATCCCGAGCAAAAAGCGGTGATGGTGACCGCCACTGTTCTGAGCATGACTTTTAAGCGGTAGTTTAGAGGTAAGAGTAGATCGCCAAAACAAAATGGAGGTTACATTTGTAAATAATAAGGCCTTCAAATGTGCTTTATTAACAGCACCGTTAGTTAAACCTCTCGTTGCCCCATTTATCCAAGCAGTGAAATGCCACTCAATTACCATCATAAACGCGCTCTTAGCGTCTTTTCAAGACAAAATAAAGAGGCACTAGCACGTGTGTGCGTCGCAAGGAACAACGAATGGGCATACTTACATACGGTCGAGGCGTACGATAACGGCTCGGAAACCCAAAAGCTTCAACCACAAATGTAATTTGCGCATGACAGGAAAGGTATTCGGCGCGTCACTGGTGCTTCGGAAGTAGCGGACGACTCTATGCTACTTTTAAAAGGAACGGCTTTGACATCGTGACACGCTGCGGTAATATTATGAATGACCGATCAGTCAATGCGAGCGGGCTTATCGACAATAAGTCCTCATAATCAAAATTTAAGACTTATCAGCCTCCTCGGAAGTGTATCTACACACTACCGCGGCGGAAGCTAAATTTTTGTGGACAAAGGGACCAGGACAAAATGCTTTTCGCCTCAAATTTTAGTGGTTCCAACATAGGTATGAAACATGCGTACACTTTGGCATGGAAGAGCTAAGATTCCTATTTCCTCTCTTTAAAATTTCTAAACGAGTCCAATGGGTAAACGCGATTAGGTATCATTCTCTCATACCTTCAAAACGTAATTAAACGTTTCGCCAATAGTTAGTTTATCATTAAAACGGTTTTGTGCGTTATTCCAATCAAAAGGGATATTTTCATCATTTATCCAATCAAAATGATGGGGTAAATGTCCACGTTCATAAAAATAGCTTTCTGTTCCTTTTTTAACAATGCTACTTGCAAAGCTACATCATCCTCTGGAAAAGTCTAAATACTCAGTCTGAGCTTATCGAACACATTCGGGGTGTGTGTCGTGAATCTGGTTATGGAATTCTACCACACGGTCTCGCCGAAAAACGCGTTGACGTGCAATGCGATAGAGGCAGAGAATATCGCAAGCAATCTGCTGGTGATCTGACCCGGATAAATCGGGAACAAATTTACGGGCCCACCATGAGCAGCTTTTGGGTTTAGAGGAAAGCACGGACGTTGGTATCACAAGATGAGAATAGAGCAGCACAACCGTTAGTTTCGACAAACATGGCCGGTCATGCTGGTCCCTGTATAATGAGGGAGGGTGATGAGCGTCGTGTAAAAGATTTGGTGGCGCCAGAAGTACCTGCACGACAGGGTTCAACAGTATTAGAGCATGAGTTTCACGCATCACTTGCAACTGCGCGGAACTTATATGACGCCAAGGCAAACTCCCGGAAAGCTGAGTTGGCTAGAAGCTTGATGCAGATTTACGGAATTTTAAAATGTGGACTGGTGCTGGAGGGAGTGTTTCTCATTCGACCTTGGCGCATCCAACTCCCATTCGCTGGACAGGACGGTCCGGGAATGTCATGTTCGTGGACTATACATACAAAAATTAATCAATTCCAAATGTCTCTGCTTACTACCGTTGGCAAAACGGGAGTGAACTCAACAGTTCCTGCAGCGATAGTCTTTTAATCAGGGAAAAGCAAGGTTTATCATGTCCGGGCGCTCCAGCAATCACGAGATATGTTAGGCCTTGAGACGGACGTTCTTTTACCGACCGTGAATTGGCTCTTGTTAGCGCAATGCAAGAACTTTTTGCAAGGAGCGCTCATGTGTTATGCATTCGGCATATTGATCAGAGCGTCGTTTCACATTGAAAAATATTTAAGACGGACGGGGCGTGGGGTAGATTTTACGTAACTAGATTAAGATTGTTATGCAAAAAATTGCGCTTTTTTATATCGAGTGTGTCGTGTTGCAACTAAATTACGCTACTAAACCAAAAGTCGCCAAATATATGGATTCCTCATAACGAGCAATTTGTACATGTGTGGACTGATGATGGGCCACATTTTGGAAGCACTTGACTTCAGCGTTCGAATGCTATCACTCGTCGTTGAAGCGGTACATTTAAACGTAAACCGAAAACCTCAACAAGTGGATTTATAATGCAATAGATGAATGAATATCGTGGGGTATGTATTTGGTATCCGATGGTAGCGGTATTCGTATTTCCCCTCCCTTTCGTAATAAAAACAACGTTTGCAGGTCATTGACATACGTGTTTCTGCAGCGAGTCCGAATTAATAGAAGGCTCTTCCACTAAAAGTCTGTCGGTCTGGTGGGAGATGTAGTGGGTATCTAATGGTGGTGATGGTCGAATGCCCCCTCCCTTTTGCACTGAAATCATCGTTTGCAGGTCTTGTCGTACGTATGTGCTGCATCCTTTTTTTGTACCTAGCTCAATAATATAATTGTACTTGTTGAAGTGCCCGGAGCTGGAGCTCTGACGCGCTCGAGGCAAGAAAAAAAAATTAGTACACGCACAGTCATCGTTCGAGCTAGAACTCGTGTCGCCACTTTACAGCTGGCATCCAAAGTGAGATCGCGAATAGATGATGACCGGAAGCCTTTCCGACCCGCTTTTTGTTGTTTCTAGCCCAGGTCAAGATTCTCGGCTGGGTGTATTTGGCAAGTCGGTGGCGGCTGTATATTGCATGACAGCGCTGGTTCAATGTCACCCACAGCACTTTGATGTCAAATGGCCGTGTCTTGTGTTATTTCTTGGTACAGCACATCTCTGACCAGTTCATCTGAAGGAAGTTTTATTTCTGAGCTTTGCAGTACTTTAAAGCTATTATGCGTCACGTACAATAGGTCAGCAGATATCTAGCATGGTGTCGAAGGGTACTTCGATGAGAATGTGCTGGGACAATGCTTATCCCTTTGTCCTGCCACTTATACAAGCTCGCGCGTACGTTTAATAATTCATAAAACATGCTTATAATAAACCGTGGTCGGCACTTAAGCATGCCTTTGTTAAAAAGCTCATCTCTTCTTCAAATTTTTCCAGCACTAATAGCGAACTAATAGGCTCGTTTAATTAAGGTAGTATTGACAAAATACTTCACGAGCTCCTTTCTCTCCGTCATGTCCACTAATTGTCGAATCCCTATCAGGGCCACGTCTTGAACTAAAATAAGAGATAATTATCGCATCACGCAACGCCAATGCGGTAATTTATTCTACAAACGTCTTACAGACTTAACGAAGTCCCTCATAAAAATGGACACGTGTCACTCCAACGGACCCTACTTTTAATTCTATAAAAATGGGACGCACGCGACCATCTCTTTGACTTTTTTTAAAAACCTGTAATTTTTACCATTTCCACACAATTGGGCGCAAGATTCAGTTATTGCCCACGGAAGTGGAATTCGTAGTTTTTGGGGGTGGAAAAAATAATTCCCTAGCGTTTAAGCGGAGTAGAAAGCATTTAGTGACGCAAATCACATTTCATCCACATGCGGGTGGATAGATGACTCACGAATATT